AAGAAGAAGCATCTTGCATCTGAAGAAGTGAGGTTCTTACCCACGAAAGCTTATGCTCCCAGTACTTCTGTTAGTCTCAAAGGTGCCACAGGACCCTCTGTTGCAAATAAGCAGCTTTCAATGTAGCACAGGGTCAGTTTGGTTTTGTGTTTTTTTGGTTGAAAAAGAAGCCTGTATAGTAAATCTGAAACTCACGGATTTTTCTTGACTTGCACCTTCCATAAAGTTTCTCTTCAGCGTAGGCCCGTGTTGTCCTAGGGAGCATTATAGATAAAAGTAATTGGAAAAAATGATCAAATTAATAATCAGTGGATTTTAGGCAATTATCTCCTGTCCTGTACTATTCTGATTGCTAGAATTTGTGATGGATTCTAATTCATATAGTTAACCCGTTTGGAGGCATGTTGAACACCTGAAAAGGTGTGCAGCTGAGTAAATCCCATATTTTCACAGTACATGTGTTGCTAGCAACTAAAGTATTCCGTGTGTTGATGGCTGTGTCAGGAACACAATTTGAATTATGTCAAAAGTAGGCTTTATGTAAAAGACACGCTTCTTAGCAGCATTTTCCTTTTTCATCCTCTCCTTATGATTGAAACCCAATCCTTGTTACAACATAATTACCTTGTCTGAAGCCAGCAGGGAGTTGCTGCTTTATGTGAAGGGTATGAAGTTCCCTAAATAAACAGAGGATTAATTACATTCACAGCATGTCATTGAGGTGATGAGATTGATTGATTGTGATCACTCAACTCTTCTACTTTCCTGACACTAGGCTTTGTGAATTACTTCCAACTACAGACAGTGGTGTTTGGTAGAAACTGAGAGCGTACTTGGAAGTTAAGAGCCCAACCTTAGGCGTAAAAGCTTTAGTCCACTGCGTTGTGTCTAGTAGAAGGAAGGTTTAAATATTCCCTAAACTGCTTGTTTTTAGTTTGGTTTTAGTTGGTTTCGAGTATTTATTTTACTCCTAATTATTTCAGTGGTCAGCACCATTAAGCTCCCACATAAAACCAGTAATCAACAGGTAAAAACTGTACACTAAAAATTGCTCCCTGAAATATACATTTGAAAATCAGAGCAGTGTTGGCAGTTTGGACAGACAAC